ATATATTCTTTGAATGTATATGATATATATTCTTTGAATGTATATGCCATATATTCTTTGAATGTATATGATATATATTCTCTGAATGTATATGATATATATTCTCTGAATGTGTATGATATATATTCTCTGAATGTATATGATATATATTCTTTGAATGTATATGATATATATTCTCTGAACGTATATGATATATATTCTTTGAATGTATATCATATATATTCTCTGAATGTATATGATATATATTCTTTGAATGTATATCATATATATTCTTTGAATGTATATCATATATATTCTTTGAATGTATATCATATATATTCTTTGATATATATGTATATAATCTGTACAACTTGCCCCAAAATACTGGCTACTTACTCACAACTCTGTGATATGCAATTTAAAAGTTGAATATTCTTATGTTTAGAATATTACTATCATGTGATAAAAGCAAACAATTATTGCTAATATCTATAAGATGCTACTGTATATCTATATAATCCTTTATAGTTTTTGAAGCGCTGTCCCATTCATTTTCACCTCTTTTGCAAAAGAGGAGACTGAAATTCTGGAAAAGCCTGGTTACTTATTCCTCAAGTCACATAACCAGAGCAGAGCTTGGCCAGGCCTAAACCCGGACTTCTGACACTTCATCTAGTGCTCTTTCCATCACATCAGGCCGAACCCCAGTCTGTGAACTCAGCACTCCAAGCACATTCCTCTGGAACACTGAGCCAGAGCCTCCTACAGGTATATGTGCATATGACTGTATGTTAATAAATAGAAGATACTTCTTTAAAACATCCAAGCTATTGTCATTATCCAAAGGGGAGGATTGACGGCAACTTCTCTTGTCCAGAACATCATGCACCACTTCAATCTGAAATGATGAAAAGAAAAAGTAAAGTAGCATCTCTGTAGGTATATTTCTCTTCAAGGAAATCTAGGTCAGATTAAGTTTTCTCTAGGTCCTAACTCTGTAGACCTACCGCCTGTCATTTTTTTGTACAGTGGTGGCTTGCGTGTTGCTATGATGCTGGAAGCTACGCCATCAGTATTTCAAATACCAGCAGGGTCTCCCATGGTGGACAGGTTTCAGCACAGCTTCCAGACTAAGGCAGACTAGGAAGAAAGCCCTGGCGAACTACTTCTGAAAATTAGCCAATCAAAACCCTATGGATCATAACAGAATATTGTCTGATATAGTGCTGCAAGACGAGCCCCTAAGGTTAGCTGGTACTCAAAATACACAGTGGACGCAACAATAGACTCAAGCATACCAATGATTGTGAAGAAGGCACAGGACCAGGCAATGTTTGGTTCTGTTGTACATGGGGACGCCACGGGTCGGAGCCAACTCGAGGGCAACTAACAACAACACTTGTATAAAACATTTAGATTACTCTATGTCACACATCGGAAGTACTTCACAAATATTAGATCATCTAATCTTTACACTAATCCTACGATGAAGGTGTTCTATTATTATCCCTATTTTATAGATAAGGAAACTGAGTTCCAGAGAACTTGCCCATGGCTAATACAGCCACAAAGCGATGGAGCTGGAATTAAAAGCCAGGTGGTCTAGCTCTAAAATCTGTACCACTATGCTATGCTGCCTTTTGGGGATATGTTCTTGTCCTCATTAGCCATCAAGAACACACAGAAAGAAAATGTAGAGTCCTCTCTGCAGTTCCCAGAGTTTCATGGGTAACTGAGAGAGAAGGAATCTTGTACCCATCAAGAAATGAATGGATGTCTTTCTGAGCCCAGAGTTAGCCTCTGCATGGCCCATAGAAACCTGTCCTCCGTCCATGCTTCATACTTGCAGGACTGGAATCACTTATGAAAGAAACCTCCTTCTGTAGCAAAGAGTAACACTTACTTAGGTGTATTGAGGGAGCGGGGAGAAAAGGAGAAGCTGGAACATATATGAGCTGTTCTACAGAAACGATGCTGAACTGAAGCCAAGACTTGAGATGCTGCTCATACATCTGGGCATATGCCAGTACTGCAATTAGACACAATGCAGCAGCAGTTTTCTCTTTCAGATTAAATACGCCTTCAAATGCACAATATTGATTTAGTGAATAAAGAATGCTGTTTAAGCCCTCATACCAATTCTGCAACCACAGCAATAAGGCCAATTTGGAATTAATTAATGATACTTACTTTTAAGTTGCTCTGATTCTGTCTCCAAGTCTTCTTCCCTGGTACAGCAATGTGAAAGAAGAATTTCGAAACAGATTAAAGTCAGTATTTTAATGAACATACACACATGTTTCTAGTAAATAAAGGAGCCCTAGTGGCACTATGGTTAAGTGCTTGGCCGCTAACTGAAAGATTGGTGGTTTGAACCCATCAGCTACTCCTTGGGAGAACGATGTGGCAGTCTGCTTCTGTAAAGCTTTACAGCCTTGGAAACCCTATGGGGCAGTTCTACTCTGTCCTAGAGGGTCACTTTAAGTCAGAATCGGCTTGACAGCAATAAGGTTTGGTTTGGTTATGGTAAATAATTAGAAAGACACTAATATTGCAACTTGTTGATATTAGTATTTTTAAAGCACACTATGGAGAACAGGGATTGGTTCAATTTATGTACATGATCAACTTCTTTTTGAGCCTGATTTTGCTATGCATTTACTCACTCACTCATCAAACATTCCCTTTCTTGCTGAGCACTGAGGTAGGTGTTAGTAATCATCATATTTACTTATGTGTTCATTCTGACACACAAGCATTTAGTCAGATATTAACTCATTAATGAACTGGATTGTAATGGATTGACTTGTGTCCCTGCAAATATGTGTTGGAATCCTAACTCCTATACCTGTGGGCATGATCCCAGTAGGGAAGAGCATTTTCTTTGTTATGTTAAACAGGCTGTATCAGTGTAGGGTGTGTAGTGCAGGCTGTGTCTTCAACCCAATCACTTTGGAGATATAAGAATAGCAGATTAGGCACAGAAGCAAGGAAGCACAGATGGGGCAAGAGAGATGCCAGGCCACATGAAAATCTCCAAGGAATCCAGGAAAAGAAGCCGAAAAGAGACAAGGACTTTCCCCAAGAGGTGACAGAGGGAGAGCCTTCCCCTACAGCCGGCGACCTGAATTCAGCCTTCTAGACTCCTGAACTGTGAGAAAATAAATTTCTCTCCTTTAAAGCCACCCATTTGTGGTATTTCTGTTATAGTGGCACTAGATAACTAAGACATAGATCAAAAAGAGTTTTTAAAAAAAAATCTAAATTTAACCTGCAATTATGGCATCTAACATTTATTGGGCATTTACTACATACCATGGAGCCCTGGTGGTGCAGTGGTGAAAAGCTATGTCTGCTACATGCCAGGCACTTACTACATACCAGGCACTGTACTAAGGCTACATGGACATTTTCTTTTTAATCCTCAAAAAAAAAAAAAAAAAAACTCTAGGAGGTAGGTACTACTTCTATCCCCATTTCATAGATAAAGAAGTAAAGTTAATAGCTTGTCCAAGAAGCAGAATGGGTATTCGAATCCATATAGTCTACATCAGGGTATGGGTTCCTAACCATTTCTGAAGCACATTAAAATGCTAAAAATAAGCTTCATCAAAAGTCAAAGGCTTAATCTTCATTTAAAAATGTTATGTTTACAAAGGGTAAGCCTCCGTATTATTAAGCAAGGAGTCCAGATGTTCCTACAAAGTCAAGGGCGTGGTCCAGCCAGACAGGATTACTTAAATTCCTGATTCTCAGGGCTGCTGAAAAGGCGGTCACCCACATGGGCTGTGTGGGTCTCCTCCCTCCATGGAAGGAACATACTCTTTGTCTTGTCCTCTTCAGCTGGAGCCAGTACAAGGCACACTTAGGGAAAGGCTGCGCTGTTATGTTCTCTAGACTCTATACTTTACTCTCACTTATTAAAAAATATATACATACACACATATACTAGACTTCGTGGCAATTACCATATACCATCAATTTCTCAATAATACTCATAAGCCCCACTTTAAGGAGATCTAATATACAGAGATCCAAAACTTATTTATAAAAGTTTTGGGAGCAACCATTAACTTTGCTGATTCTTTGCAAATACATTAAGCGATGCACATCATAAGATGTATATACAACTTACGAGAAACACCATTTTCTGAAAAGCAAGGTATATTTACCCATTCATTCAACATTGTAAATACATATATATAAAATTATTGAGCCCCTATATTATATGCCAAGCTCTGTGTTGGGTGCTGGGGATTCAAAGATGAATACCACACAGTCCCTTCCCTTCAAGAGCTTACAGTCTAGCAGGAAAGACAGAAAAAGAGGCAACTACCCAAAAGCCAGAAACCCTGGTGGCATAGTGGTTAAGAGCTATGTCTGCTGACCAGAAGGTCGGCAGTTCGGATCCACTAGGTGCTGCTCGGAAACTCTATGGGGCAGTTCTACTCTGTCCTACAGGCTCACTATGAGTCAGAATCGACTCAACGGCAATGGGTTTGTTTTGCCCAAAAGCCAAGACAAAATGCAGGGGTGGGGCTTGTTATCACATAGGATGAACACCTAACAGAACTAGGGTATGGGGAGCAGAGGCAGGGAAGAAAAGCTTACCTGAAACAAGTGGCTGGGAGCTAGGATGTCTGATGGAGGAGTAGGAGCTAGGAAGGAGGAAGGGAATAGTATTCCAGAGAGAGAACAGTATATGTAAAGTCCAAAAGGTAAGACACTAGGGGCACTGAGGAGGGCGCGTTGGGAGCCAAGGAGACTCTTACAGTTGTTAAGGCAACAGATGAAGTTAGCTTGGACTAGGGAAGTGGCAGTGAGGATGGAGAGAAGGGGATAGCTTTGAGAGATACTTAAACCAGTACCACTTGCTATCGAGTTGATTCAAACTCAGGGTGACCCCAGGGGGGTTTTCTCATGTTTTAGAGGTGGAGCATGAGTGAGAGGAGAACTCAAGTCCCCAGGCTTGGGCAACGGGGGAACGGTAGTGCCACTCACTGAGATGAGGAACATTGGCTAGAGTATGTGGAGCCTTAGTTGCCCAGGGAAAATTCCAGTTGGCAAATCATAATCACAGGTCTGGAACTAAGGAGAAAGAACTGGACTAGCGATAAAGATTTAGGAGTTCAAACCACATTTTACATTGCATCCCTCCCTGGCTATGTCCTTCCATAACTGTAGTCTGTATTCATTGTGAATTCGACAACTATTTCTGCCTCCCGCTAGGTGCCAGGCACTGTGCTACATGTGGGATTTGATGCAAAGAAAAACAAACAAATAAACAAACAAAACAAAACAAAATCTGAAAAACAGTTTGACTCATTTTCATAATAAATCAACACTTTTTGTTTTGATTCGACCAAATCTTTTATATGCTGCATCGTAATTAAAAGTCTTAAGGAATTGTTTGGAGCTGATTGTTAAAATCCCTATTAGTCACAGAGCAATGCGGTAAAGTGAACAAGGTTTGGGGCATAAATAACGCTTTTATTTAATTCACAAACCATGATGGATCAAATCATTACTCATCCATGTCATTTCTTCAGGGAGCTGCCTTCTTCCTCATAAATACATTAGGCAGTCTTAGAATGAAGCAAATCCAAGCTACTCCCAAACAGACGGTTTTCTTGCGGATGACAAGAAAGTCACTAAAATAAAAGCGAGTCTGATTCACTTGAACATTGCCAGTTTTTTTTCTCATGTTTTTTCTCAAGTGGTCATTTTGTAAAAGACGTTGAACTTAGATGCATACTCTCTTTTCTATATAGTAATTCCCCAAGGTAAGTTTATTATCGAGAGGGAATAACAGATGGATGGTCCTTACGAAAAAAGGACAAAGTTCCTTGCATGCAGAATGTGAGAATGAACCGCTGCTGTTTCCAGGTGTCAAACTGTTTTTTCACATGTCCACAAACTCAGAAAATGTACTGACAAAAAATAATATAATAAAGATAAGTACCTTTTGAAAAAAGTTTACATGCTTGAAAGAAAGAGTATCCAGTTCCCACTGCAGAAAGAAAATGTCATGCCATTAAATAAGAATATCAGAATGAAAAAATGAAATGAAACAAAAGGTACTTCTAATGACTAATGACTTGAATGCATCTTGGATGGTCTCCTCAAAACCCTGTTCCTTAAGCCAAGGTGTACAACTTCAGGAATCCTCTTTAGAGGAGTTGAGCTTTTAGAGGACAATTAAGCAAGAAGCCTTAACCCAGAGGGAAGGGACAGTTCCACTCACTGAGTACCTCTTTAGAGTTTATAATTTTTTTCATGTTATCTTCACAACAACATTTTGAAATAAGTAGACATTATCATTCTTATTTTACAGACAAGGAAACCGAGGCTCAGAAAGATTAAGTGAATTGCCCAAGGTCATACAACAAGTAGAAGATGGAACCAGAAATCTAAATCTAACTGAGGTCTATCTGACCCCCAAATACTTGTTCTTCTCCTGCTTTTGAATATCAACCTATACTATTTTATTCTCATAGCTGATAGGCTTTATCTTTTTTTGTTTTTTGTTCTTTTGACTGTTTTTTTTTTTTTTTTTTTTGTATCTTCCTAGCCAATCTTATTCATTCAAGCCATGGTTTATAGTTTCATTTATGAGTGTTGTTGTTAGGTGCAGTCGAGTTGGTTCCGACTCATAGCAACCCTGTGTACAACAGAACAAAACACTGCCCAGGCCTGCACCATCCTCACAATCGTTGCTATGTTTGAGCTCGTTGTTGTAACCACTGCGTGAATCCATCTTGTTGAGGGTCTGCCTCTTTTTCCTGACCCTCTACTTTACTTTATGAGTATATTTTTATATTTAATAAATATTAACTATATACCTTTTATCATCTTAGCCTAGATAACTACTTTCGTCACCTCTTTTTCACCTGGCTCATGCTGGGCACGAGATATATTTTATACTTGTTAGGCCTGGTGTGAGCCTTCTCTGAATTTCAAAGCAGTTCCTCTACACTAATGAAGCCCCTGATTGTACTGGACAGATTACGGAGACTAGATTTAGCCCCATGGCCAACTAGCTTAGGGCTTCAAAGGCCAAATTATCCTCACCTGAGAGACCCCAAAGGCAGCTCAAGGGAACTCCTGGAGAAGTAGGTTCATCTTAATTCCAGAGTAGTTCAACACCATTATGAGGAATTTACTTTTCCCATAAGACTTAGAAAGGAAATGGACATTATATGGTTAAAACTAATTTACAGATTAAGACTAGGAAACGGACTCTGCAAAAGTTAACTGCCAACAAAATTATTGTTTACCTGCACCCATTTAGAAAAGGCAATTTGTTCTATTATTTAAGCCATCACTTACCAGAAGCTTCAAAAACCATATAATAGTTTATCCAGATAAGTAGTAAATGTGTGTGGGTGTGTTGTGTGTGTGTGGGTGTGTGTTGATGCCAGTTTCATATGCTTTCTTCCACCTGATGAAGGAAAGGGTGAGTTTGATGTTTAATATTTCAACAACTGAATGAATTTTCATATTTATTTGCAAGGCTGGAATATTCAGTCCTGAGATTTTTGCCAACATGGCCTACATGCTATTACTACTATGTTCTACTACTGGCCTATAATATCAGCCATGACTGCTGCCTTGTGCTATATAATTTAAACAAAAGCAAAGATGCACAGATGAAATTTCAGTTTGTCAGGATTGAAGAACAAATGCAGTATGTACATCAACAGAAACAAAGTAAACAATAATGAGAAAGGAAGAGATAGAGAAGATGAATGTAAGATACTTTACCATGTTTAGGTGAAAATAATGGTACTCTAGATCTCATCAAATGTTCTGTTCCAGATACCACAAATTGGATTGGCCTCACACGCCTATCTGCCAGGTTCCTGAAATCAGCCTGCTGGCTCTCAAATATGCTCCGAATGTTTTCCAGCTTCAGTTGTACAGTCTGCATTTGAACCTGCAAGTTACATAAGAATTCGATGAAACATTTTCTGAAATGAGGTCATTACAAATCTTATTATATTTCTCAGACTGTCAAAAAATTAATCTAGAGTGCTCGCTTTGGCAGCACATACACAAAAAATTAATCTAGAATTTCAAATATAACTAGAAGAATTTTACAAAGTGAAGTAAAACATATTAATGTTCAGGCAGTCCCTGGATCACGAACGAGTTCTGTTCCTAAGTCTGTCTTTAAGTTGAATTTGTACAAAGGTCGGAACAGTTAGGTACGATTTGCATCTAACATCAGTTAGTCAAATGTTTGTCTTAGTATATAGTATATAGTGTACCTTCCTACGCATTAAAAACATTAAAGAAACACTTCCAGATACACTAAAACATCTTTAACATAATTATGCAGCAATAATAACAGTAATTTTTGATGTGTGCCACGGAGTAGGGCCTGTTTGTTATTATGAACCATTGTATGTAGCTCAAATTTTTAATATCATAGGCTTTACGGGGGTTGATTCATAACTATAGGTTGTATGTAAGTTGGACGTTTGTAATCCGGGGAGTGCCTGTATTATCTTCACATGGTTATAAAACCAGAGATGAAGAGCTCAACCAAAACAACCTGGGGAAGAACTGTATCGTTCAGTGATAAAACTGGTCACCGCATGAAGTGATTTACCCTTCCTGGGCTGGAAGGGATAACGGCTGGAAGATAAGACATCTTACTCTCTCCTGTTTGGTATGACAAAGCCACCAAGTTATAAAAACAATAAAATCAATAGCATTGTCATAGTAGATTTAGCCTGCAAGACACTCCCTTTAAAGTTCTCCTCAGAGCCACCAATGGATAACACCTGTCCGTCCCTCCTAGATGCTATGAGGCAACTAGAGTTAAGTTTGGTTGCTTCCAGAGAATGGCTTGGTCACTGCCATGTTTCAGATTTGCTGGGCATCCTCTAGGATGTGCAGATAAGCATGGATACCTCTCCAACCTCAGAATCAGCTGCACATTGTAGCAGCAAAAAGCATCACCAATACTCTTATCTATAATATGGAGGGAGTCTTTCATGTCACCTCCAAGGGGGTAGGACTGCACTAACCTATAGCTGTCCACCATGCTAACGCTAACTTCAGTGCTCCCCCCTTCTCCAAGAAGACTCAGATTCTTTCTTTACTCTCACAACTCAGTTGAGTGTTATTCTCAAACAGAGTGGAACAGCCAGGCCTGTGCCCGGGGAGTGTTGGCAGTCAATGCTGCATAAAGGAAGGATGTTTGGGGTAGAGTTGTCTTGACACGGGCCCAGCATTCTCCTAGGACCTCTTTGGGCCTTTCTCCAAAGCGGCACAAGAAAACATGTGTGAGAGCTCCCAGTATGTGAAAAGAGTTTAAAGATAATGGAACCAGAGCTCAGAATGGAAATTGCTCTTCTTTTTATAGCAAGTATAAACCTTTGGAGTCTTTGCTGCTTAACCACTATCATCCTTTGTCCTTAAAAGGGCTGGGTAACTGCACTTTGACATAAAGTTAGCTGTGACATAGTATAACTCTTATATACTACTGCAATTATAATACAATTTGTTTATTAAAAAAAATTCTCCTACCTTGAGTTCAGGAGATAAAATTATATCAAATTCATACTGTAGGGTTTCAGGATCATAATTTATAAAGGGCAGAGCCATTTCAAGAAAATTCTCGATGTCTTGGAGCGCTTTCTGAGCTTCTTCTTTAGACTGAAATTTATCTATTTCCTGATTAACTAGGAGATATTCCCCTTCATCACAGCACTGCCGGGCCTAGTGAGAAAATCAAGGAAAAAACATACACACAAATGAATAAAGAGGAAACATACTTGTCTTCTTCAGCTGTGGTTTCCATGAATCGGAATCACTTTCAGAGCTTTCAAAAAATAAAGATATCTGCGTTCTGCCCCCAGAAATTCTGACCCAGTAGTTCTAGGCTGGAAGCTGGGCATTTATATTTGTGCAGAGCTCCACAGGTATTTCTAGTGCACAGCCATGGTCGGGAACCACTGCCTTCACTTCATAGCTAGTAACTCATTCTGCACCAGGACTCTGACCACTCTGTCAACACTGACACTTTAGCTGCATGGTATTTTCCTGAAATCAATAACTGCAACATAAAACTCCTAGCAAAATATAAAGTGTAACATAAATGCTTAATGATTGCTGAGGACAAGAATAACGTTTTCTTGCCAGAGAAGGAGGTGTACAGATTAAAATCTTGACGTTGGAATCTGACACCTATAACTGATACCTCTATTTTACCTTGCAGTGCCAAGACCACATCTGCAGGGTAACCCTTCTGTTCACTACCTACCCATGAAAGGAGGGGCCAGGCCCACAAGCCGGGGAGGACTATTTTCTAGTCACTGTTTACATTCTTATTGCTATACTATGAAATGTAGACGGAGTTTCAGGCCTTAGTGAAATGCCTCCTGGGACTTTGAAAAGTGTTATGAGTGCAAACTCACTAGAGATATCCCCCAAATAGAAAGGAGATCATCCACTTCTCATCTCAATATGCAGAACTGAGGCTCCGCCTCTTACAATACGGGACCAGCCATGCAGACTACATAGGTAGATAGCTTAAAGGACCATAATCAAACTCAGTCCTTCAGGCCTCTTACAAATTCGATTCCAAAGCTATACCAGACCCTGACCCCATAACCTCAGAGGAGACGAAAGGTGTACCACAAAGAATGAGGGCAAAGCACGTCAGGCTGGGAGAACCCAGGATAAAAACCATACATCCTTCTTGAGAGATGGGCCATTTCCCCTGATATACCTGCTGCAGGAGTTTATGCATTTTGAAGATCCTGCTGAGCTGTATCCGTTTTGCTTTGATCTCATTCACCAAAATATCAGTAAGGTAACGTAGCTCATTGCACCTCTGGCAGATTAAATCAAGTGCGTAATGGTGATTGGCCGCAAGTCTGTGTCCATGTAATATCACAAACCGGGTCTTGGCTAACAAATCCTGATTTTCAAGAGAGAAGGAAAATAATGACTGCATGATCTCTATTCGTATGGGGGAAAAAGAAGAAAATAAGAAGCAAACTGGTTTAGCAAGGAAGATATATTGCCAAAATTCCCGTTTGATGTCATAATTCTGCAGGCTGCAAAAAAGGTCCAAGAATTAGCTATAGCAGCAATGTCATCAGAAGCTTACAGATTTCTGGTTACAGAAACAGAAAATTAACCATCCCACCCAGAATGGGGGTGAGACTTGTTTCTCCTGGTTTGTATGGATTTAGAACAGAACTGCATAGACAGTGAAACGTGTGAAAGCTGAAACTTGACGGACTGCCTTGTTTTTCTGGGTCTCGCAAGTTTTCCACCTTTGACAGGATGCAGTCTTACCACTTTTCTATCACTATTAGTGGAAAATATTTTCCTTCTCTGACAAATTTCCACCTTACACAGGTTCCAGCTTTCACAGGTTTGGGCCGTACCAAATGTGGGACACACCAGCCAAAGAAAGCTGTTGTGATTGATCCACATACCCTGCGGCTCAGAAACCTCATTAGAGTCATCGTCATCCACCTGTGTTACATACTAGACGCGAACATCGCAGGGTTTCCAAGTCAAAAGGGACCTTAGCAGGCTTGCCTCCACCCTGTGAACTACTGCTTCGCCCATATATTGACTGAACCATAGTAAGAGCTCAGGAAATGCTTGCCAAGGTAAAATAATGAAAACGGAAGCCCAGAATGAGGTAGTGACCAGCCTAGCTAGCCAGTGGGAAAACGAGGATTAAAATCAGAGCCCCCAAATTTCCAGGCCAGTTTGCCTTCTCTTTTTACTGTACCATGGGGATATGCAAATTGTTCCACAATCACACAGATCTACAAGGATAATTCCAGAACTGGTCACTGCCACTGCTGCCTCTCAATTTCTGTTCTTTGAAAATACACCTTAAAAAGCCTGGCCATACCCTCCCATACAAGGCAGGAGAGCAAAGCCAGAGTTTGTTAAGTATTAAAGCCCTGAGTCCAAGCTTTAAGACTAGTAGGAATAATGGCAGCTGCCTCTTTAGAGTACTTACTATGTCCCAGGTACTGGGCTAAGTGCTTAGATCTACCCTCTAGATGAATCCTCACAATTGCTCTGTAAAGTAAACATTTTATCCCCAATTTAAAGATGAGGAAATTGAGAGATAGACAATTTAATCCCTCTACCCAAGGTCACACAGCTAGTAAGACTAAGTAGGTCTCTCAGTCCAAGTCTATGTTTGGTTCAACTGCATAAATCATATGCTGGACATTTAAGGAACTCTCTTCTTGCCTGTTTTCCATCATTTTCATTATGATCATTACCAAGTACCAAATATCATTCTTGATAGACATTTTTCTAGCTTCTTCAAAATGAATTATGTTCATGTTCTTATTGGTGGGCTTGAAACACTTCACATCATCTCAGAGGCCTTCTGCTACAACTACAGGATATATCTGCCATGTCACCCCTGGCTTATATTCAGAACAGAATATAGTCCAATATTCTTGTGCCAATTGTACAGAATGTTCCTATGACAGATTAATCATAATAAGGGTTTGTTATGGATTGAAGAAAACAAAAATCCTCACAACTGGACCAATAAGCAACATCATGATAAATGGAGAAAACACTGAAGTTGTCAAGGATTTCATTTTACTTGGATCCATAATCAACACCCATGGAAGCAGCAGTCAAGAAATCAAAAGACACATTGCACTGGGAAAATCTGCTGCAAGAGACCTCTTTAAAGTGTTGAAAAGCAAAGATGTCACCTTGAAGACTAAGGTGCACTTCACCCAAGCCATGGTATTTTCAATCGCCTCATATGCATTCGAAAGCTAGACAATGAATAAGGAAGACCAAAGAAGAACTGACGTCTTTGAATTGTGGTGTTGGCGAAGAATATTGAATATACCACGGACTGCCAGAAGAAAAAACAACTTTGTCTTGGAAAAAGTATAAGAAGTATATATAGCCAGAGTGCCCCTTAGAAGCAAGGATGGCGAGACTACATCTTACATACTTTGGACATGTTATCAGGAGGGATCGGTCCCTGGAGAAGGACATCATGCTTGGTAAAGTACAGGGTCACCAAAAAAGAGGAAGACCCTCAACAAGATGGACTGACACAGTGGCTGTAACAATGGGCTCAAGCATAACAACAATTGTGAGCATGGCACAGGACCAGGCAGTGTTTCGTTCTGTAGTACATAGGGTTGCTATTATGAGTCAGAACTGAGTCGACGGCACCTAACAACAACAACAACATGGATTGAATTATGTCTGCCCAAAATGTGTGGCGATTTGGTTGGGCCATGATTCTCAGTATTGGTGGTTGTCCACCATTTTGTGATCTGATGTGATTATCCTATGTGTTGTAAATCCTAACCTCTACGAATGTTAATGAGGCAGGATTAGAGGCAGTCACGTTAACGAGGCAGGACTCAATCTACAGGATTAGGTTGGATCTTTATAAAAGAGAGAAGCCAGCAGACAGGACGAGGACCTCATACCACCAAGAAAGATGTGCTAGGAGTGGAGCGCGTCCTTTGGACATGGTGTCCCTGTGCTGAGAAGCTCCTAGACCAGGGGATGATTGATGACAAAGACCTTCCCCCAGAGCCAACAGATAGCGAAAGCCTTCCCCTGGAGCTGGTACCCTGAATTTGGACTTCTAGCCTCCAAACTGTGAGAGAATAAATTTCTCTTTGTTAAAGCCATCCACTTGTGGTACTTCTGTTGTAGCAATACTAAATAACTAAGACAGGGTTTATACTACTTCATCAAAATGTAACTATTATACTGCATCAATATAGTAAACATTTAAAACTTAATCTCACCTGAGAATTTTCATCTAAGTTGTCCAACTTTTTTAGTTTTTGTTTTACTTGAGATAGATTCCCTGTTATATCACCCAGCTCTGCTTGTTGATTTAACAGCAATTCAATTTCAGTCACAAGCTAAATAGGAAATAAAAAGGTTTAAAAAACATACAAATTATTAAGAGTTTTCCTTTTATAATCAAGTTTTGTACAAAATGCTATTAAAAAAGAATGTCAATACGGAAAAATCGGATATATAGAAAATTTTTCAGTTATTTTATTCACAGTAATAGATATTATGTGTTTAAATTTAACCTCCTAGATATCAGTATGAACTCATGATTTCTAAAATATCAATATGTACGTGTACATGCAGGTATATGTGGACATGTATTTGTATGTATGTATACACAAAAGTATGTATGTGTGTGTATACATGTATCTATATTCCCCAGCTCTATGGTGAACGGGCCTAGAAGCAAAGACCCTCCAAGAACAATGAGCACACTTGATACCCAGATCTTGGTCTTTAATACCATTTCCCAGAAAAAGACACCAGTCTTCCTCAGAAAAATAGCTGATTCCAGGGCTGAGGCAGAGTAGGGACAAGATGAGCTTGGAATATCTCTTTATGCCACAAAATAACAAAGTGATTAAAACTAAAAAATGTTGGGACATATCAAAACGACACAGTAGCCAGTTTGAAACACCAAAACCACTGAGAATAGTAATGAATTATAAACGATTCAAAAAACAGGAATCCATGAATCCAATAAATAGATTACTGAATAGATGGGGAGAAGGGAAGACTCTTGCTTATAGCAGAATGGCTAGTGTCGACTGGTGAATATGGAGGAAATGCTTGAGTTGGAAAATCATCATTTTATAGTCATTATAGTAAAGACTGATTTGGGCAAGAATCATGAATTGATGCTAAATTCATGCAGAAATTTTGATGACGGACTAGATATTTGCATGACCTTAAATTTTCTCCCCACATATTTCCTATTAATTATAAGGGGAAAAAAACAGTAACTCTATTGAACCACACCTGACTGGGTGATCAAAATCAGCACCAACAATGAGGGGCAGGGGGACATCAAGTACCTCGCCATGTGCCGTGCTGAGAAGTGCATATCACTTATGTAATAGTCTAGCTGGTCACACACAGACTAAACCCATTCATGAGAAAATGGACAAACCCAAAATGAAGAATGTTTGCTTAAAAAAAAAGGACAGTATTCTTCAAAGACGTCATAAAAGACAAAGAGAAACCGGAAATGTTCCAGACTAAACCTAGACTGGGTCTTGTACTGGAGGAAAACAGAAATGCTCTAAAGCACATTATTGGGTCAATTGACTACATTGGAATACCAATGGCAGATAATATAAAAGTAGTGCATCGATGTTACATTTACTAGATTTGATGACTGTACTGTGGTTCTGAAGAGAATGTCCCTATTATTAATAGATATTGAAGTATTTAGGGGGAAAAGGCCATCGTGTATGCAATTTACTCTCAAATGGGTCAGAAAAAAGGCATGATCTGTATGTATGCATTACTTATATATGTTTTTGGGGTCCTGGTGGCACAGTGGTTAAGAGCTCAGCTGCTAACCAAAAGGTTGGCAGTCTGAATTCACCAGCCGCTCCTTGGAAACCCTATGAGGCAGTTCTACTCTGTTCTATAGGGTCATTAAGAGTTGGAATCGATTCGATGACGATGGGTTTGGTTCTTTTGGGGAAGGGTTTATAAATGTTCTAACTTACCTCTTGAAAATCCTGCTCAAACTTCCACAGTTGAAGATACTGCTCCATTTTTAGTTGGTGTTTTTCCCAAAATCCATCAAAGGCTGTTTCCATATCACGTACTTGAGTCAGCAATCTTAACCAAAAAAAGTCAAAGAATTCCTTAAAAACAATGATTTGTTTCATAGGTCTATAGAGAAACTTGATCTGACCATTAAGAATTATAGACAAAGTCATAGCCCATGATACTTGGTTCAGGTAGAGCCCATTGGTGTCCACAAAACCTCTTCCACAAGCTAAATAATCTCTGTAGAACACAATTCAGGAAGGTGTCTCAGATTTCCAGAGGTCCAGGAAACCTTCACACTCAACAGGTTGCAGTAAAAATGTGTAAGTCCCCTTCAAAAATAAGGTAACCCAAAATCAAAATGGGAGTACTCACTTATTAATAGTTTGCCAATCACCACTTATTTGCTGATGATGCTCATGTCTTGAACTGACAACTTCTTCAGGGTCAGGTGCTTCCAGATTTGTTAGCAGAATAGTTCCTTCTTTGGTTATAGCTGTAATGTCATTCTGTACAAACACACAACAGGAGGCATCAGGCATCAGTAACCTAACCTCACTGAACTGAAGGAGAACACACCTACGGCGTGCAGAATAGGAACAGAAGTTCTAGAACGGCCTTTGTTTTCATAGCTGTCTGAAAAATCAAGGAATACCTCAGTATCACAGAGTCCAAAAGCTGTAAGGATCTCCAAGAAGCCCCTCCATCTGTGGCGATGGATGTTGCAATCACTACTCACAGAAGATTTTATAGGTAGAAGTACCACCATGTGTTCCATTTGTAGCCTGCCCTCTCTTACTGGTAGAAAAGTTCTAATCTATTCCATTCTATTCTGGTAACATTTTTAATATGCTCAATTAAGGCAGTAATAGCACAATAAAGATTGCCACACTAGAAAGGATACAGTTACAAATAATATTTAAGGCATATTCAGATTTCCTACTAATCTTTAATTATTACCAATCATTGCCTGCCCTAATTCTTATTTTATTTCATTTTAGATTTAGTTAATTCATCATGAAGCATCTACCTCTATTCAGAAGCTCTTAACCTTGGAGAGTGGCCTACAGACAAAGACCTGCTTCAGGCATCTAAGAGTGGTCTAAGACTTCGTTTAAGAGGTCTATACCCATTGCTGTCCAGTCGATTCTGACTCATAGCGACCCTATAGGACAGAGTAGAACTGCCTCCATAAGGTTTCCAAGGAGCGGCTGGTGGATTCCAGCTGCTGACCTTTTGGTTAGCAGTTGAACTCTTAACCACTGTGCCACCAGGGCTCCAAGAGGTCTACCGGCCCCCTGAAAATTCTAAGCAAAAATTTGGTTGTACATATATTTTTATGGAGAGAGGTTCCAGGATAACAACAAGAACATGAGTAAGAATATTAGGAGCTAATATTTGTGAAGTATCAACTATGTGCTAAGCACTGTTGTACATACATCACATACTTTACCTCATTTCATCCTCGCAACAACCCTACAAGGCATGCACACATCATCATTATCATCAACAACAACAACCTCTTTGCCAAAAAGCAAACCAAACCTGTTGCCGTGGAGTTGATTCCGACTCATGGCAACCCCATGCGTTACAGAGTAGAACTGCTCCATAGGGTTTTCTTGGCTGTAATCTTTACAGAAGCAGTTCACCAGGACTTTCTTCTGTGGTGCCTGCTGCTGGGAGGGTTCAAACTTCCAATAATTATTAACAGTTGAGCACCAACTGTTTGTGCCACTTAGGGACCTAACTTCATTGTACAGATAAGGAAAATGAAACTCAGAGAGGGTAAGCAAATTGCCCAACATCACACAGCTTGTGAGAGTCAGAGATTTCTTTCCTTCAACAGAGTTTTGCTTTTAGATTGTGGTTAAAAATGTCAGTTTCTCCCCTCTTCTTAATGTAAAAGTATCATGGCTACATAGAGCTTGAATCTCTGTCAGTGTACCCAGGATGCCTATTATCATATGAAGGAGAGGAGTTGTATATGGATGTCTGATGCTTATTCGAATCGTTCTTTAACATTTTGAGGAAAGTGAATACACAAGTACGTGTGGATTGTCTCAATCGTGCCTCAGAATCCTTCGCAACCCAACACTCCATACAGGAGCAGGTAGGAGAACAAAATCAACTTACTATCCCTGGCCTATTGTAGAAAACATGGAGAACTACCCTTTGTGGAAAAGAGAACTGTAAATCATTTTAGCAATGTTTGCCGTAGTCACAAAGTTAGTCCATGGCAGAGCTGGGACCAGAAACCAGGCCCCCTGATTCCTCATCAAGTTCTCCTTCTTCCCTTTCACACTCTACCTGTGGTGGAGGTCAAAATAGTACACCGGTCTGTCTCCTGGACCTCACTCTTGCTTTTGAAATGAGAGGGCCTTTCCATACGATAGAGAATAAGGAGCTCTGGGGGCACAATGGTTAAAAGCTTGCATGCTAATCAAGAGGTCGGCAGTTCAAACTCACCAGCAGCTCTGCAGGAGAAAAGACCTGGCGATCTGCTCCTGTAAAGATTACAGCCTTGGAAACCCCATGGGGCAGTTCTACTCTGTCTTACGGGGTCGCTATGAGTCGGAATCAACTAGATGGTACACCAATCACAACAACAACAAAATACGTGATAACGAAAAGGACTGTGGATTTCTTATTCCGGCGCATTTATAAATTACTCTATTTACAGATCAACGACTCCACAGAGACTGCACCATTTACAGAGGGGACACTTGAAGCCAATATATCCAGGACATTTTCCTCTTGTAAAGTATTCTTATTTTTTATAGTTTTCTTTGTAATATAGAAATACCTTTTGACTCCCTATACAACAATCAGTGTGAAATAACTACACTAAAAACTCCTCTAGAAAAAGAAAGATCGTGGCAAAATATTGTTTATCCACTCTCTCAGCCTCACCTTCAACAGGTGGTACCTTTCAGCACGAACTGCAAGAATTTCTTCTATTGCAGGAATATCATCTGGGAGTTCTGTCTCAGCCAATTCGGTCCCAAAGGACTGTAACATCTGAGCCATTTCCTTCACTGTGAGGGCAAAATTTTCTATAGCCTGCAAAGAGCCGGTGATCATTTTAATTCTACGGTAATTCTGCCAACATATCAAAACCTGGATCAGTAATTGCATTTACTGTATTTAGGTATGACAGCAAACATGTATACTCTGAACTCTCTTCTGCTAAGGAAATGTGGCGTTGCCTTTGGCAATCAACTTTGCATCTAAGCCTCTAGGGAATGAAAGCGAGGTTAAGAGTCTTCCTGAATGTCTTTTATCTAAAATTCTGTACTTATTCCTTGGGCACCAGTGAAAATGATTTCTTAAAGATGCCATGGACTGAGTAATTTGTTTATGCCCTTGAAAAATGCAAGTGTTTTCTTTATTCTATTAAACCCTTCAGTTGGTCAAAGTGCCTTACAACAACTCTATTCCGAAGAGTGATGAGGACATCAAAGCCATTTTATATTTGTTTATTCTCATTTATAAACAAGCACCAGCATTCCAAACAAGGTGATGGACTAAGGGGGTGGAGGAACAGCTAGTAATGAACAGTGAGTTCTGGGAACTGTAGATTGGAAGTCATGGTCCCAAAGGCTCCATTGCCCTAAAATATCCAGCAAGGTTTTGTTGTTTATTTTGTTTCAAAATCGATGGCTCACAGAAAGAAGGGCAAAATATAGAGACCGTATGAACCTCTGTATACCATGCAGCTCAACGTATCTGTTCTTTTTTTTTTTTATAGCTGTATAGGTTATTAAAGACTGTTGTTGTTAGGTGCCATCGAGTGAATTCCGACTCATGGCGATCCCATGTGACAGAGTAGAACGGCCCCATAGGGTCTTCTATACTGTAATCTTTATGGGAACAGATCGTCAGGTCCTTCCCCCATGGAGCTGCTGGGTGGGTTTGAACTGCCAACCTTTCAGTTTAGCAGCCGAGTGCTTAACTGTTACACTACCACAACTCCTTTATTAAGACTAGACATTGCTAATTTTGCACAATGCACCTTCATATGAATGAATAGGACTGTTGAATGAGGAACAGGGATAAGAAAGAACCTGGACTTAAACAAACATCATTAATTCCTCAGAAGGGTTCTCATACCACTGGTGAGATCTGAAGTCAAGATTCTTGTACCATAGCCTCACACCTGTGAGGTGCAGGGCCTTCACCTATTTGTAAATTTCTAGAACAGAAGAACTCTTTGCTCCAAATCTAATGGCCTCAGGAGCACCACTAGAATGATGACATTAATAATATTCCTCGCTATTACTGAGGGCTTGCTTTATGCCAGGCACTGCGCCAAACCTTTCACATTTGTGATCGCATGTAATCTTCCCAAGAGCCCGACGAGGTGAGGCATTACTATTGCCATTTTAGAGTTGGGAAAACTAACACTTGGAGAGGTTAGGTATCTTGTCCAAGGTCATACAGCTAAAAACCAACAGTGCCAGGGTCTGAGCCCACATCCCTTGTAACCTAGGTCACTATAGGGCCATGGGAGGAGGTGGTTAGAGTATGACCTCCCTAAGCCTCAACTTCAACTTCACTTGTCATCCTCAGTGACTCTTCATCCTTTCAAGGTATTTCCTATGGAACAAAATCAAGATGTTGAATTATATATGTATTTGAAAAGCCGGAGCCCCAGAAACCTGTTTTTCCCAAAGAGGAAAAAATTCTCCAACTAGATTTAAAGGCTAACATGAACTATAGGCTCTACAGTAAGGGCAAAAGCAACATACATTTCTGAAGATGATCCATTCACTGTGGCAGTACTGCAAGGTGCCGCCTAACTCAGGGGTTAATTGCTTGTCATCAATGTATGTCAGCAAATCACTAACTGAGCTCAGCATAACAACCTATATAAATAAGCAAGAAAGATACTGTTAACTGCCCTTCGTGGCATCCCTCCATCCACCGGTACAATGCACTTTAGCAGATATTCAGCAGAAAAGGACCTTTCATAAATGGTTTGAACAGTTCTCTCCTGTCCATCTCCCACACACCGGTATGCACCACCTTCTTCAGATAATAACGGTTTTCCTTTACTACACCATTTCTCTGTAAAGCAAAATTAATCTCCTTCATCTAAAAGTTTGCATTGTTTAATGGCTGAGCTCCTGAAAGAATGCCATGCCCACACCAAAGTAAAAGGACATTATGTAGTGTTATAATTTATCAGACACGACTGGTCTTTGCTCAAGTATCAAAATTTATGAGCACTGTACTCCTAACTCTCAAAATGTATAAAAATATCTTTAAAAAAAGAACATGGTACTCTGAGCTAGCTCAGGATGTAAGTTCATAGGAGTTCAAATACATAAAACACACACTCATTTCTACTAAAAAAAAAAAAAATTCCTGTTGAGGTTTCTTGGAGGATATGTATGTGTGTACACACACACACACACACACACATACACGTATATAAAACATATATGATATACATACTTTTAATAAAGGAATTGCTTTGCTATGAATGGATCAATCTATTTCTTTGTTAATAACAATGTGAAGCCTATTTTTACAGTAGAAGCAGAAGGCTTCCAGGCATTGCAAATTTACATTCCAGGAAGACATATTTTGTCTTTTAAATGCTTAGGTGAGTACATGTACAACATCAACAGCGTGGTATAAGCTATTCATGAGAATTAAAGGAAGAAAAACCATTTAAATAATATACTCTTACTGGCAATTTGAGCATGAAATCCTCTTGGCTAAATCGAAACCCAATGTCTGTGAAAGTTCGTTGAAGAAAACTGGTGGGCCGTAGAACCAAAACCAAGTGCAAGTTCCCAGGGAAGGAAGCCTATTGAAGGAACCAAGAAAGAAAGCAAAATTCTCAAAACACGCATTCAACCGAGCACATACCAGAAAATATGCAATTAAAGGAAAAACTTTTAAAGTCATAAAACCCACATAAAGGCCAACACATCAAAAATGGATATTGATAAAATCTCAAAACATGGAAATAGAAATAAAAATCATGTAAGGTCATCAAGGTCAGATCTTGCAAAGCTTCTAGCATGGAATTTTCTCATACTGGACAAGCAAATCCCGTGTTATAAAAATTATACTCTGAAGCTTCATTTTAAAGTTGGTTACTTGAACTCAAATTGCATTTATTTCCTGAAAAAACAGAATTAGGAGGTAGTTTCCTACGATAGCCCTAAAAGCTGTAAGGGAGCTGAAATACCGTGTGCTGGCACGAAACCACAGAAAACTGTATTATGGAACCATTTCTGTTTTCATCCAAGCAACATTCACTGAGGGTCTCCTGTGTATCCACTCCATGTATTTAAGTGAATGATCATCAGGCCCTGTTAGACATTAGTATACACAGATCGCTAAAATAACTCCGACAGCTTAATTGTGAGGATGGTGCGGAACTGAGCAGCATTCCATTCTGCTGTACATAAGGTCCCCATGAGCTGGAGCCAACTCGACAGCAACAAACAACAACCACAACGGTTAACTAGCAGAGTCCATTAGGAATCAGTAACACGCAGTATAAGAATTTGACATAGCAACGATTGTGAGGAGGGCGCAGGACCAGGCAGTGTTTCATTCTGTTGTACATAGGGTCGTTAAGAGTCGGAACCGACTGGATGTCACCTGTTATGGATTGAATTGTGTCCCCCCAAAATATGTTGTAAATCCTAACCTCTGCCTGCAGTTATAATCCCATTTGTGAATGGGTTGTTTGTTATGTTAACGAGGCAGGATTAGGTTATGTCAATGAGGATTAGGGTTAAGTTTATTATGTTAATGAGGCAGGATTAGGGTGTATCAACAGTAAATCTCTTTTGAGATATAAAACAAATTAAACAAGCAAGCGAGAGAAGCAGAGATGGGGGAAGAGAGATGCCAAGCCACGTTAAGATCTGCCAGGAGCAGAAGCTCAAAGAGACAAGGACCTTCCTCTGAGCCGACAGAGAGAGAAAGCCTTCCCCCAGAGCCAGCACCCTGAATTCAGACTTCTAGCCTCCTAAACTGTGAGAGAATAAATTTCTCTTTGTTAAAACCATCCACTTGTGGTATTTCTGTTATAGCAGCACTAGAGAACTAAGACAGCACCTAAAACCACCAACATAATAATCGGACAAATGAAACAAAGGAATTAGCATAACATACAAGGGAAGTGGTAGCACAGAGCCTCCTAGGTCTAGGGAGGTCAAAAAAGAGAAATTAACTGGATCAGAATGTCATTTTAGTTCACCAATGCTTCCCAAGCTTCTAGAACAATGCCTGGCACATAGTAGTTGGTCAAGAAATACTTGCTAAATGAAAGCATTCAAAAGTAAACAATGCAAAATCAGTGAGGAATGGAATAGCATGGGCTGATGTTAATAATAAACCACCAGGGATCAAATGTTTACTCTAGGCTAAGTATTCTGTCAACATTATCGTAGCTCTTCTTCATAACAATCCTATAATGTAGCTAGGCTATCCCCTTTTATAAATAAAGAAAATGAGGGTCAAAGAGTTTAAGTATAACTTGCCCTAGCCGATGAAGCCTTGATTTGAGCTTCTAATCATTCACTATGGCACTATGAGACTTCAAGAGAAGAGGTCTCAGTCAGGAAAGCTAGAGGAAAATGAAGCTGGGGGATGTAGCAATGGGAGATGGTGCTAGAAAGATGGACAACAGCCAGATCACGAAAGATCTTGCATGTTTGGGTTTTATTTTGGAGGCAAGGGGAGTCTCTAAAAGATTTGAAGCAGCAGAGCAACATGGTCAGATTTGCATTTTAGAATGATCACTTGGGCTACTTTGTGGGGAAAGGACTGGATTTGGCCAAGGGTGGAAGCAGACAGATGAGCTAGGAGACTGGTACAGTACTCCAAGCTAGAGATGGGGGTTGAATTTAGGAGGTACAATCAGCAGGACATGATGAAGGAATGTGTTTGTTGAGAAGGGAGAGGCTAGGATGATCAATCTTCAGATTTCTGGTTTGCACAACTGGGTGAATGGTACAACCCTCACTGAGACAGGGAACACAAGAGAAGCAGGTGTTAAGGAGGGGGATAAAAAAGAGAAACAACCAGTTGTCGTCGATTCTGACTCATGGCAACCCCATGTGTGTCAGAGTAGAACTATGCTTCGCAGGGTTTTCAATGACTGGTTTTCGGGAAGTGGATTGTCAGCCCTTTCTTCCAAGGTGCCTCCGGGTGGACTCGAACCTCTAACCTTTTGGAGCGTTATTGTTTGCACTACCTAGGGACAAGAAGGGAAATAAGATTCTGATTTGCATTTGCGATGTGTTGGGTTGGAAGATTTAGCAGGAAATCCAGATCATGTCCATCAGACAGCTGCGTGTACAAGTCGGGAGGGAAAGAAGTCCAGGCTAGGAATGCAGCATCAGGAGTCAGCTGCTTCAAGACAGCAGTGTACAGCAAAATCAAGCAAAACATATAAAAAAAAATTTAAATTCAGTCATATTTCAATCATGTTGCAATATTAATAACTGAACAAAGCTATACAACAAAAGGAGCCCTAGTGGCACAGTGGATAAGAGCTTGGCTGCTAACCAAAAGGTCAGCAGTTTGAATCCACCAGCTGCTCCTTGGAAACCCTTTGGGGCAGTTCTACTCTGTCCTATAGGGTCGCTATGAGTCAGAATCGACTCAACAGCAATGGGTTTTTGGTATACTACAAAAATTATTAAGATGTGTGTGTGTGTTTTAATTTACCTTGGATTCTTGGACCCAAGAACAAGCAGCTTTAGGCAGAGAAGATTAAGAAGATGGGTAAAGGCTTACTTAAGAGCAAGATTCTTGACAGGGACTTGGAACTCTGGGCCTATTTTTAGGTTGAGAGCACTGATTCTATCTACTTCTATCATCCACTTGGGGAGTTAAGCTTTTCCTTTCCTTTCACATAGGTAAGTTACCTGCACTATTATTATACTTACCTGCCTGGATTCAGTTCATTTTTTGACTCTTAAAGAAAGTCGAAAGCATCCAACTATCACCAACATTTAAAACAGAATTACTTTTATTCTTCCATGAATTCTAGGTTGGTCTCGTCTCCTAGTCTTTCTCTTTCTGATTTTCTCAGTACCTCCTTCACTGACTTTCATATTCTCCAGCACTGAGGGTTAGGAATTCTCCAGATGCAAGGCCCTACGGATGGCCAACTTAAAGCCCAGGATACTCTCATCTCTCAAAAGGATACTACGGGAATACAGAGAGACTCATGTGACAGCTCTTTGCAGAGGTGAGGAGGTAAGGCTCTGCTCTCTACTCTGCCATTGCTAGGAGACAGCAAGGCTGCCCCATAAGCCAGGTCCAGGGGCAACGGGATCACACAGCAGGGAACAAATCAGAAAGGAGAGAGAAGCCAAATCACAACTCATAGAATTAGTAGGGAAGTGAGCTTCAGGGAGGGATTGAGGGTATTCAGATGATCCTAAATCAGGGATTTGACGTTGGATGTTTATTAAATCATTCACTGCCTCGATTTGATAAAATGGTTTATCCCAAACATTGAAAGCTGTACAAATTGCTTCTAAAGATGGTTCTACCTTCTAATCAGATCATTCTTAAGTAAAATCGTCTGAATTCTTTTATTGTACTTTAAGTGAAAGTTTACAGTTCAAGTCTCTCCTGACTATTTTATCACAAATTCTCCTTCCTTAATTCCTTCAAAACATTCAGTATTCACTTGTCACAAAAAGCCTGCGAAAATTTGCGTTTTTCAAGAAAATGCATTATCAAAGGATGAAAACTTTACTTATTGCCTGTATAATTACATTTACAATCTTTTTCATTATAGGATGATTTTAGAATCTTTATTGAACTACCAAGCATACTATCCTCCTGCACATGGATTCTTTGAATCCAATAGCTACTCTCAAATTTAGAAGCTGTTTGGGGGAGTAAATAATTGTAGACCTCAGCTATACATCTACTGAACAATCGGTTGGCACGCAAACACTTCATTTGATTTTGAAAAGTTAGATTTTTAAAAAAAAACAGTATCATCCAGTTCAGACAATAAATAACTGTTTCAGTTGCAAAGGCCCATTACACCCACAAGGTAATCCAACAGACTTGACTTTTCAATCCCAGTCCCATCCACTTAGCCCAGACCTTAACCACAGGTGCTCGCCGAAATGTAAAAAGTTAAAGGTGAATTCACAACCTCACATGAAGGACTACTTTTCATAGCTTCTCTTTTGTGGTACTATAAAAACTCTTAAGGTGAAGAAGGAAGATTGGAGAGTTGGGCAGGTGAGGATGTCGCTAATATTTATTGAACGTTTTTTACAAGAATTATGCGCATCATGAGCATGATGACGATCCTGTGCAAAGTGCTTTACCTGCAGTAGGTTCTATTTCTATCATTTCACAAGTGGAGAAACTGAGTGTGGCAACAGAGTAATGGCCCCCCAAAGATGTCCGTACCCTAATTTCTGTACCCTGTGACTATGTTACCTTACATAGCAAAAGGGACTTTGTAGATGTGGCTAAATTAAGGACCTTGAGATGGAGAGATTAGCCTGGATTATCTTGGTGGGCCCAATCTGATCACAAAGGTTCTTATAAGTGGAAGAGAGAGGCAGGGAAATCAGAGTGATTAGTAGGAAATGTAAGGATGAAAGTAGAGGCCAGAATGATGCAGGGCCACTAACCAAGGAACGCAGGTGGCCTCTAGAAGCTAGAAAAGGCAAAGAAATGGATTCCCCCCTAGAGCCCTCAGAGGGAACCTAGCCCTGCCAACACTTTGATTTTAGTCAGTGAAACTAACTTCTCACTTCTGACCTCCAGAACAGTAAGATAATAAATTGTGTTGTTTTAAGTCTC